TAAAAAATAAAAAAAATTGTTTGAGGGAAATTTTTTTTTTTTTAAATTGTCAAATGACAATTTGTCATGTGTGTGTGTGTTTGTGTGTGTGTGTGTGTGTATAATATAGTAATGCCATATCATCAATCTGTAAATAATTTTGTATATGTAATATTTTACATTTTTTTGCCAAAATGTGTCATTATCCTTTACATGAGCATAACTAAGGGAGGGCTTGTGGGAGGACAGATCCCCCAATCTTCTAACATTATTTCTTTTTTAGAATTGAAGATAAATAATCATTCTCTCTAGGTAATGTTTCAAGGTTATCAATAGATCAACAATTAAGATCTGTGTAGGGATATTTTTCAGTTGTTCCGCCACATTACATTGCTTCCGGTTGATGTCTATTATGCTTCTTCCTGCTCTTTTGACTTCTTCGACTCGTCTTCCAACCCGCATATGCGCTTTTATTTATATTCTTTATTTCATTATTTTGAAATACCAATGGAGAATCTTTCTAACTAAATAATAAAGATGCAGACTCTAGTTCAAAGCATATAAAATCTTTGTAGTCTAGTAGTAAATTTTTTTAGGAGTTAATGTTTTGAATTCATTCGACCACAATCTTAGATTTTTTGGGAAAATTTATGCAATTAGTCTTCAACCTGTATGGCCTCTAGAAAATTCATTCCAACCTTTAAAATTAAACTTTTCATTCTCCATTCTCAAGTCCATTTGCTTATTTTGCAATTTTGATTTTTATTCTTTTTCAATGGCTCATTGGTAAATCTCTTTTGATTCATATTCTTTTTCAATGTAAATAATTGATGAATGAAAGTGATCATGGGCATGTTTTGTAGCAAAGCTTCCTCTTTGGCTTTTCTCCTTTGCGAGAATTAAGAGGTTTATAACCCTAAGAGCTTTCTTGACTTGAATAATATACGTATATTGAATCCTCACAAGTCTACTTTGATTTTTCGACGAAGGTAAGTATTTATCTGCCTCAAGATTAGGCCAAAATCGTGACCTAATTGCATAACCAAATGATGTTGCTTTTTGTTTCTGTCTAGTAGTCACTTGTGACCGCAAGGGCATAAGCTCGCCTTCTTTTTCTTTTTTGGTCATCGACTTTTTCTCTTGGTTCGACTTGAGTCATTTCTACATCAAATTTTGATCCTTCGTCTTCTATATTCATATTTAAGTCCTCATCACTCCAAAATCATTAATAACCGATCTGATGTAAGTTCCAAATTTTATAATTTAGCCATCCTACTTTTAATTGTTTAATTTAACTTCCGAAACTTATGAATTTTGTACCGAATGCTCTATTAATTCTTCTAATAATCAGGTGCAATCCGAATAATCTTCAACTTGCTCCGAATCAACCTTAGTTAAGTTTCAAATAATGCCATTTTCACATCAATTGCATTTTGCATCCAATTTGAAATTTTATCTACAACTAACGTATTTTACACAAAATTAAATAAATACCCGCTCGATATAATACTAAATAATGAAGAACAGAAGCTCAGATGGGTACCTATTGTTTCTATATTCATCATGTTCTTCTTCTAAACTCTTCCAATTCTTACTTAATTTCAGAAGGTATAAAGTAATTGTAGATTTGAGTGATATGAAACAAAATTTGAGTAGAAACATGAGTGTGCTCTGCAGTTGCACCTTCATGGTGAACCTCTGCATCAGAAAGTGCTCTACCGACTGTATGATCCGTTCGGGATTACAGGGATTCACAACAAGTCCGAAAGTCAGGTCTTTTGTGGAAGCCTATTAAGGCGCTGTGTGGACTAAAATACCGTAATTTGCTGTAGGTTATTGTCACTCCGCTCATTTGTTGTGTGAGTACTGAGCAGTGGAAAGATACAAAATCATGGAGGAACTGCTTTATGGAAAGATTCCATAAAGCCCAGGTCATACGATGACGTATAAAATTCAGAAGTAATAGTGCAGACTGCAGAGCAAGTCGGATTCTTAAATGTGACAGTCGCCAGTGGTCAACCAGGTGATATGTTGCCACAAAGACAAAGCAAAAGTAATGCTTTCTATCTTGACTAAAGTAACTTAAAAAATTGTTGAAAGTTTAAGTCAAAACTTATAATAAATTTTAATCATATACCTTGTTGGATCATAATTTTGATCAATTTTTACCACATTTTTTATTATTTTTTATTAAAAACTATGAAATTATTCGATGATCACAAATATATAGTTCTGATCATTGGTGACAATTACTTTTCTGCACGTCGAAATTGAGGAGGAAGAACTTATTGTTTCTTTTTGCTTTAAATTAAACCACTGTATATTTACTCTTTTCACCAAATATGCTCAAGACATGGATTAAAAAAGCATTACTTACCGACTAAGCAGACAGACAAAATCATAATTGGACACTGTTGTTTACTTTAAATGATTTGATATGATTAGAATTAGTGAAAATTAGTCAATTCTCATTGTGGGTCTAGGAAGGTGGAGCTAATTGAGGATTCCAACTTAGATCCTGTTTGGTACCGATTAAAATTTAGATGTTAATTTATGTCAAAGTTAACAATTAATTTTAACGACATATTTCACGAATCTCACAACTTTTCAATCATGCATTTCATCAACTTTAACTAAAATATATTAGAAATCTGATTTTAATCTCTACCAAATATGAATTAATAAATTCTTTTGTACTTAAATCAAATAGGACATACGAAAGCACTTATGAGCTCGACTACTCACACGGGTCAAGCAAGCTACCCCATCCCACAAAAGAGGGTTGTCGTAGCCCTTAAAGAAGACACATCCCATAAGTAAAAAGGGAAATGATATTTGTACACAGGGCTGACACCTTGCTGTATAGCTCCCTTGCAAGAGGAGGGCCCACGACCAATAAAAAATTGTGGACCCCCCTCTTGTGAGGAGGGTAATACACTAGAATTTATACAAATAGCATGACCCAAATAAAAATTAAAGTAAGGGTCTGTTTGGTACAGTTCAAAATTTAATTAAAATTGAAAATATAGTCGTTATTGGGTCCCACTCATCTAATAAAAGTCAACAATAACGACTAATTTTTCAATTTTAATTCGATTTTAATCTCTACCAAACACCCTCTAAATAAACTCAGCCAAATCTAGTGGGGTCACACTTACAAGAAATCCAAAATTGCAATAGTTCCATGTACGCATCATTCTATTAGACGCCATGTGCACATCATAGACAACGCCAACAAAATTCAGCAATATTTAGCAAATGTTTAACCCCCCATTAAATTTTAATTCAAATCTCTTTCTTCTCTTATTAATCACGCATTCTCTCAATAAAATAATATTACACATAAATCTAAATATTATCCTTACTTTTTAACAACACATTTTTCCAAAATCGTTTTTTTTTCAAATAATAGAGCTCAAACAAGAGCTAAGCAAAATGAGAGTCAATCCGACTTGACCACAAATTATAGCCTCCCAAACAATGCGGTCCGGCAACAAAGATATCAACTAGGAACAAACCAATTGGCATGTTATCAAGTCGTAAATTACAATAAATAGTTGTTATCAACCAATATTTTAATTAAAGGAGATAAAATCACTTTTTTTTTTTATGCTCAAGGTATTGAGACATAAATAAAAAGTTATATTAAAGAATTTATACATTGTTTTCAAACTCAGCTAGCTTTATAAATTCATTGGATAATTAAATGTAGATTTCAACTGCCATGTGGACGAGCTAGATGGTAGCATTCAATTTAAAATCTTTCTAGTTGAATTATGCTGATATTTAAATACTTAGACGTGACTAATTAACAAAAGAAACACTATGTATCACCAGGGGCGGCAAAATGGTCGAGTAGCTAGTCGATTCGACTCATGGACAGCTTGACTCATTTTGGAACTAGTCCGAGTTAGAGCCGAGCTTGCGAGCGGCTCGAAGGCATGATCCACAAGCAGAGCTCGTGGGCTTGTAAAAAATGTGAATAATAAAAAAAAAAAAGTTGAGCTCGTGGGTACATGCCGTGTTATTGTTAGTGACAATACTTGGATCTGAATAATAGTAAAATGTCGCAAATGAAATACGATTGTGGTGCGGTCTCCATGATGATACACGGGTGTTGACCATGACATCATTTTTAATGAACAGCAAAGATTTTTTTTAATGAAAAATTGTTTTGACCAGAGGCCAGAAAATAGAGCACGTGACACGTGCATAGCACATGTTATCCAGGGGAGCGAGAACTAACAGGATTATATATGGATACATGAAAGTTTGATGATAGAGTGAAAATAATTGCAATAGTTCTAACTTAGCATATACGTTTGTGCCATTAAAAGAACCCTTTTCGGTAAAAGGCTATCATAATGAGTACTCAAAAATCGAACAAATATATAAAGTTTTAATTTTCCTTTTATTCTGTCTCGTAATTTTACTTTTTGATTCGTCTTCATAATTTGCGGGTGATTATTGAGGAAGCAGTTTACATGGAAGAATATGACCTTAATAATTTCCCTAACTATGATTAATCGCTAAACCGTGTCTTTCAGTTATACTAATTAAAGAAGAAAAAAAATGATTGCTCATTCTCTCTACTCCAGTCTAATCTCCTCTCCTCCTCTCTCCAAGGAAACTTGAAGAAGAAAACAGTTTCTCTAGACCTAAACGACAAACACGAAGTTCAGGTTCACTTTTTTTTAGCTTTTCTTGATTGAACCCATAAAAAGAATTTTCATTTCTTGATGCCCAGAATAGATGACCTGTTCAATTACATATCTGATACCCTTTTCATTTACAGGAATTTAGTGCTACTTTTCATATACGGATATGCCAATGAGTAGAAAAACCCGCGGAAGATCCAAAGATTGTAACAGTCAAGATTGAATTTTTCTGGGGGTTTTCTGTTGATGGCATAATCAATATCACTGTTTTTGGGTCTATAAATGGAAATGTATTTGAAGTGATGATATAATAGTGGAAGGGTGGGTTTTGGGGTTGAAGATTGGTGAATGATGGAATCAAGAATGGATCAATATGAGATCATGGAGCAGATTGGCCGTGGAGCTTTTGGCGCAGCCATTTTGGTTTATCACAAATTGGAAAGAAAGAAGTAAGCATTGGTCTAATGAACTCAAAATGTTGGATTTTTCCATTTTATTTTTATATTTCTTGGAATAAAAATGTAGGTATGTTCTTAAGAAGATTCGATTAGCCCGACAAACAGAACGCTGCAGGAGATCTGCTCATCAAGAGGTACATTGATATTTGATATTATTATTGATTCCCATTGACGTTTTTCTTACAAAATTTGCTGCCTGAATGTAACCTGTCATTTTAAAATGCATCAAGTAAAATATTTTTTTGTTGAACTTGGCGTTGATGTTTTCCAATATTTTTCCTTTTCTTTAAGGTCTCAAGGGATTTACTCCCAATTTTGTTTCCAATGCGTGTGTGCGCTAGATGCATTTCGTTTTCCAATGTAAATGTTTGAAATTTGAATGTGTAGATGGCGTTAATTGCGCGGATACAACACCCGTACATTGTTGAATACAAGGAAGCATGGGTCGAGAAGGTAATAGTCATCGAAGCTTTTCCTAATGATTTGATGATTTCTTTAGATTTGGTAAATTATGAATTCTACAGAAATGTGTTTTTCAAACTGAGCTCTTGGTCTCAAATGCTAATGTAGGGTTGCTATGTTTGCATTGTTACCGGCTACTGTGAGGGTGGTGACGTGTAAGTTTTGAACAATAAAAATTTTTAACTTGAAAGTGCTCCATTGTGTAGTTATTTTGTTGGGCATGTCCGGATTTTACGAGCTATGGTGATTGACTTTTAACAGGGCTGAACTGATGAAAAAATCAAATGGACAGTGCTTTCCGGAGGAGGTATGAATATTTACGACTAAAAGTAATACTTTTTTGGCTACTTAATTATTTTCTGATAACTATACTTCTATTTTACAAAATAAAAGGTTCTTCATCAGCTCCAATAACTTAGCACATAATATATTTTCTTTTTGGATAGTTAATTCAACTGTTTATGTGCACCGTGCAGAAACTCTTGAAATGGTTCACACAACTATTGTTGGCAGTTGAATATCTGCATTCCAATTTCGTTCTCCACCGGGACCTAAAAGTAAAGTTTATTGTTTGTTAAATGGTTTTTCTGTTATCTTAAATGATTTTCTGGACTGATTTCCATAGTATTTTCTCGGCAGTGCTCTAACATCTTTCTTACCAAAGATCAAGCTGTTCGTCTGGGTGAGTATGAAAATTGTGTCTTTTATTGACTTTATAACTAGCCTTCCTTTTTTTTTTTATGCATACCTCCCTATTAATAATCTTCTCCTCTTTGGCTTCTTGTTTTGTTGCAGGTGATTTTGGACTTGCTAAAACTTTGAAGGCAGATGATTTGGCTTCTTCGGTAAATGCTTAGTATACATATTATCTTTTTCCCCAGCAATGTCAATTAATAATTATGGAGTGACGTACGAAAAGATGCCACGTTTCCTTGCATTTTCTGTTGGTTCATTTCATTGTAGTCGATGTTCATAAAATTCATGAATTTAAATGAATTAAAGAGAAGGACCGAAATCAAATGTAAGAACTAAAATGTACTCATTGTCTGACTTTACCTCTAGGACATATGTGTAACAATTTTGCAAATAAATTTAATCGTGTCAAAAGATATCCTGACTACGATTTGGTTATGCAACACATTTCTAAGGAAGGTCTTCGAGAAACTAAGCCTTGTCTTGTTTTTTCATGCCAGGTTGTTGGCACTCCGAATTATATGTGTCCTGAACTTCTGGCAGATATTCCTAATGGTTTCAAATCCGATATTTGGTCCCTAGGTATGTCTACTCTTATATTGCTTCTTTTCAAACATGGCTGCTTTGTGCCAACTATGCCAAAAGTTCAACAAAGTATCTATTCACATCTTGGCATTACGCATTAGGACAAAGTAACGACTTTGAGCCCCTTGTGACATGCTACTAGTCATTGTGTTCTAATCTCACTTGAATGTCATGGAAGTTTAAGGATCACGGAGATAAACTTTTGTATATACTTTGTTGAAGTTCACTGCGCACTAAATTTAACCTGTAATTATAGATTTTTCCTTCTTTTTTCACTTTTTCTCGACCAATATGTTCATTTTTGACCAGGTTGCTGTGTATATGAAATGGCTGCTCATCGTCATGCATTCAAGGCTTTTGTAAGATTTCCTTCCACTTATTTTAGTTTTTGCCACTATCTGTCCTAGTTGCTTTATCTGTATTTAATATGTGAATTTTGGCCACCTCCCATTTCTTTTTGCTCTATTTTATTCCTTGTATATGCAAGTGTATATGTTGGGATGTATGTTTGTACTATGGTATAATGATATCTTATGTCAGCTCTGTTTATGGTTTCTGAGCTCAATGAAACCTGGTCTGTCTCATTGGAAATTTGTTCATAGTCATAAACACATTTTTATGAGCACACGGGCACAGAAACATGTCCATGCTCTAGAATTTTACTGAGGACTTACATCTGAAGCTACTAGAAAAATGAGATTAATGACCCTTTTGCTTTCCATTTTTTAGTCCCATTTCTTGTTACCTTATGCTTTGTAAAGTTCATTGATCATATTTCAATTGTGTGGGTTACTCAGTTATTTCAAATACGTTTTAGTTCTTATGGAATTTGTGTTTCAGGACATGGCAAGCTTAATAAGCAAGGTTAATCGATCGTCCATTGGCCCTTTGCCTTCATGTTACTCCCCATTCTTGTAAGTTTAACCGTATTCGGTGATTATTGTATTTGTGCTGCTATTTGTTATGTACTTAATTTTGGGCGTGCCTTGGTGAAATGTTGAATAATATTGTACGTGTGATGATGCCGCTGTATTACTCTTAAAACAACCTTTTGGCTACCAGAAATTATAAGATCTTAATTAGTTTGTGTTTTTATCTGTTGTACGTTTTTTTATAGTGCTGTTATTGTAAAACAATTTGGAACATGCCTTATTCACAGGAAAACACTAATCAAGGGTATGCTAAGAAAAAATCCCGAACATAGGCCAACCGTAAGCACTTCTTGATATCAGTTTGCAAAGTCGTATAATTACTGCTTATGATATATCGCCGTAACCAGATGTTTCGATGTTATTAGGCGTCGGACATGCTAATGCACCCGTATTTAAAGCCTTATGTTGATCAGCACCGCCCATCCTATAATCCTCCTCCTGCAAATTCACCGCAAAAACCTCTTTCTATAGGTCGAGACACTCGGAAGAATATGGGTGAAAGCCAAAGTAGCAATAGTTCTTGCAGCGACAGAGATAACTTGATGTCGACTGAGAGAAATGTGCAGGATATTATTTTCAATAGCAACAACAAAGCTGTGGATAGAGATTCAGCTTCTATTGATGATGACAACGACGATGTCGTCTGCCGGCAGCTTCGGCTGAGCAAGGATCAACAAAAAACTGGCACCATTCCAGGAAATACTAAGGAACATGAGGTTATGAAACCACTGCACAAGGAAAGGAGATCTGACACTGAACCTAAGCAACCGAAAGCAATTAAAAAATTTATGATGGCTCTAAAAGAAGAAAAAGCTCGAGAAAGTAGTTCTTCCATGAGAGGGAATCGTACGAAAGTTAGCGGTGCAGGTAACCAGAGACTGCCTACTGAAGCATCTCCCAAAATCACTAAACCAAGTCCTTTTAATTCTGGTCTTAAGGCTACTGTGGAGACACCACCGAGTTTATCAGAAAAGGACTCTGATTCCAAGAAACGAACAAAAGGAATGCATTCTTTGAAGCACCAGGTACTTGCATTTCATTCTTTTCTCTTAAATAAAATCTGTACTGATCTTGATTGCAATTGATTTTCTATTTGTGTAGTTACCTGTCATGGAAACCACTTCGATATCTAAACCTAGACACGAGGGTATCCACCCATCTGGCTCCGGTCCTGTGAAAACTATTGCCGAAGATGGATATTCTACGTGGACAAGAAAGAAAACCCCTCCGACCCTGGTCAGAAGGTCATCATTTTCAGGACAAATGAGGCAAGTGCGCTGTGACACTCCAAATAACATGAAGAATAATAATATAGAGGTCGGTCCATATGACCCCCGAAATCCTGATGGTATTTCCAATCCAGTGCCTTATTCAAGACGTTTTCAAAAGGCCATAGCTGCAGCCTCGAAAGGAATGAAGACAGACAGCAGCAATTCTGCATCCTCTTCAGTGTCAATCCAAGGATTTGAGCTTTGTGATGATGCAACGACTCCTATTATTCACTTGTCGGATGAGATACTTCAAATCAATGAGCAATCCACTGAAATTGATATCATTGAATCGCCACCCAGCTTTTCAGCCTCTTCTTCACTCTCTGAAAGGCTAGAAAATCATGGGAATAACAAAAAATCCAAGAAACAAGGAATCACTAAAATTGAATCTCAACCTAGCTTTGCATCCTCCTCTTCATTCTCTGATAGGCTGGAAAATCAATATGTGGAAGATAATGGGAATAATGAAAAATCCGAGAATCCGCTAACCACTGAAATTGAATTCGCCGAGTCTCAACCGAGCTGTTCCACGTCTTCCTCGTCCCACATTGAAAGGCTAACATATCCATCAGAGGAAAATCACGGAAGCATGGGTAAGTCTACGTTATCTTCTGTAGGAGCATTTGAGGAACACTCAGAGCATCGAGTTATGAATGCTGGTGCCTGTGATGAGAAACTGACTCCAATTGAAACTATGGAGATTGCATTTACTTCCTGTGAAGAATTACTCAAGGGAAAAAGGGATTCTCCAACTATCGACCCCAGTAGTATGACTGAAGTCACGGTCCAATCAAAATTCACTTCAGCATTTGATACTGATGATAACTTTACGGTGAAGAAACTAGTTTCCAAGGTAAAAGATCCTTCCTCTTCCACTGACACTCATATTTCATCTAGTCTGAAGAATTTGCTGTCGGATAAGGGAATTCTTTTGCAAAATGCAATAATTGAAAAGCCAGCCGGTACTCATCTCCCACCAGCGTTTGACGATGTGATACATGTGATACGCCACAGTAGTTTCCGAGTTGGTAGTGAACAGCAAGTAATGGAAAATGTCGAGAAAAATGTAGATGTTGGGAAGCTGATAAATTTTGCTGGGGACAATGTTGATACAAAAGATCCGGCTCCAAAATCACCCTGTGGCTCTGAAAATACGACGACTCCAAATCTTTCTGAAAATCTTGTTACTAAGGAAATAGATTTGAAGACTCCCACCAATCCCACTCCTGTGGTTCCCAAATCAGATTCACTAGTACCCGCAAAACCTAACTCTTCCACACCGGAGGAAGCCCCTGTGAAGGAAACTTTAGATGTTACATCCTTCAAGCAGAAAGCCGAGGCACTTGAAGGGCTATTGGAATTGTCTGCTGAATTACTTCAGCAGGATAGACTGGAAGAACTTGCTGTCATTTTGAAACCTTTTGGAAAAGAAAAAGTTTCTCCCAGGGATACAGCTATTTGGCTTGCTAAAAGTCTTAGAGGAATGATGCTCGAGGACAGTGGACGAAACTCGTAAATGGCATTATTTTTTTCTCTCTTTTCTTGTCTATCCATTATGCTTTTATAGTTCTTAGCCTTCTTTCCATTAATCGTTCAAGCTCCACTTGAATATACCCACAGAAAACACTGAGATTTTACTCTTCAAGTCTTGTTTCAATTTTGCTAATTCATTTAGTCTGGGCATTTTGTACTATTGTACAATCCAAGAAAGTTTGTTTACCTTTTTTTTTTTTCTCTCGTTCCCAGCCAAATGTAAGAAAACCTTGTAGAAGAGGATGGCGATGGATTTTCTGTCACTAAAGACCAGTCTGTTGTTAGTACTACGGAATTTTTTCAACACTACATATTGAACATGAAAGTTGTGTTAGTAATTTTTCGACGGTAATAGAAGTGTTGGCGTTATCGATGAATGTATCTACGCATACAAGTTCGTCAAAAATATCTACAAATTTCTATAGTAACTATAAGCAACAATTTTAGTTCGATGAAAAATTATCGACGGAAATTTTATCGTTATTTCCCTTGATAAATTCCGATATTATTTCTGCAAGAAATTAATTTCATTTCCATTTTCATTCTGAATTTTTGATGAAAGTTTTCTACGAAAATGAATCTAACGTAAATTTAATACATATAAATTATATTATATTATTCTATTAATTAATTATTCATTTAAATTAAAAATATTAAAAATGTAGAATACACAAGTGGCACTTCCCACATTCATAAAAATGTATTTAAAAAATAAAAAAACTCAATCATTTATAAAAATATTATAATATATATGATTATGTATAATGATAATTTTGATTGGGTATGCTTTCTTAACTTCAATGTAAACCACGAAGTATCAATTCTTTAGTCTTATACATAAAATATGCAACGTACATATAATAAACCAGTAAATTAAAAGTTATACATAATAGATATTAATATTACGAATATTAACAAATAGTATTGAAAAAACATAGTAAAAAGCTTAAGTTAAGATCATTTAAATTTAATGGTAAATATTTGTAAGTTTTATGTTGACCTTAGAAGAATCCAACCGAGCCCAACGTCTTATACTTCTCGAGATGACTGTAAAGGTAAACCCTTTCTCGAGATTTCTCACCTCAGGCCAGGCTCGAAATGTCTTCAAATATGGGACCCTACCTTGCCTATCCCTTCCCTCTTTCTACTTCAAGAATTACTAGCCTACGAGGACTCTACTTTCATTGTCCTAATCCTATATTACTAATATAATCTTACAGTTTCAACGAAACTCCAATGTTCAGATGTTACAGGACTCTCACGCCCTTCAGAACTTTTAAATGGATAAGACATCAAAGTGACCTAATCTTATCTAGTCACTGTTTGGTGAAGATTAAAATCATGAAATGCGTGGTTGAAAAGATGTGGATTCATAAAATGTGTTTAAAATTAAAATTAAATTATAATTCCAACCAAATAGGAGCCTAGATTGTGCTGCCTAGCTCTATAAATACAAGAAACTTATTCATTATCAGGTACGCATTATATTATTTTAGTTTATAGCTTCACGTTTATATTTTCCCTTTCACTAACTTAAGCATCGAATGGTGATGAGAACACATTTCGACATCTTTATTTCAAGTCTTGAAGATCCTGTTCGTGCTCATTCCCAATCATCAAACTCAGATATCCATATGTGCAAAACTTCTACAGTATCAATAATAAATAATGTTAAAATAATGCAAGAACCAACTAATGAAAACTAAGAATTGATCAGTACACCGTAAACCAGTCGATTACCGATTCGATCCGGGTTAATCTTCACCTTTTTCAAGTAGATGTCCGGCTAACTTTATCGTTTTTCAAAACATTAATAATTAATTATTTTTTTCCAAAGCAAAAAATTGATAATTAATTATAGATATAATAAATATTTCTATATTGGGAGTCACGATCTCAACCCCCTCTCTCTCTCAGACAGCATATTCTGCCGTCCAAAGAACATTACAGTACTGAAATTGCAAAAAGCCACTTTTACATAGTTGCAAAAAAGTCCAAACTTTTTTTCAATGTCAATTTTACTATAATATAGACCAAAATATCCTTATTAATAATTTTAAATTTCACAATGAAGACAAAATTATTTATATAATTAAGAATTGTATTGACAAATAATAATTTGGCACATAATGTATATTACTTATTTTAAAAAGTACCATGTCAAATATATATTAAATGCTCGCTTCTCCCTATAAGTAAGTAAATAAAACATTTTTAAAATGTTGAGAAGTACATTTAAAATGTCAAAAACATTATAAAATGTAGAGAACTCTCATGTTCAGAACGAAATTTCGCTCTAAACAAATGAAGTGTCAAATGTCAAGATAAACGTGATCCAAATGTCGATAGCGACTTTTAAAATGTCAAGAACGTTATAAAATGTCAAGAATACCAACTATTAAATACAACTTATCAACAAAAACAAAATTTCAAATAAAAATTACCTTCTACAGAGAATTGTGAAAAGCCTAATCAACTGCAAATTTGGATGAGATTAAATTTTTCGAAATGAAATTATATAATTTTCTTATGAATTGAAAGTATTATTTTTTAGTGTTAATGACTTTTCTACTTCATCTTTTTCATTTTTTTACAAAATTCTTGGTTAAAATCCAATAGATAATAAAAGCAAATAAATTTATTAGATATTAGCTAGCATTAATGTAACTTCTCATGAAAGATACTTGTTCTTCTTGAAATTAGTGATAAATTGAAAAACATGCTTCATTTTTAATTGAGGGTATAATAGACAATTTGATATCAATTTTGGCCATTTTTGAAAGTGTTATCAAAATTAAACACCTTTCAATTAACGGACATGAAATTGGCTATTTTTATAAGGTCCCCGGATTGTTGTTCCGATCTCAAATTATTTCCAGATGTTTTTGAAATTTGTGCATATGGAAGACCCCAATAGACCCGTTACTGGTTATCCTGTCAATCCCAATGGTTACTCCGCTAATCCGCCACCCGGCACTGCCTATCCCTATGCCGCCCCTGCCCCCAGTTCCTACACCAGTTACCAAAACTACCCCCCGTACTCCCAACAAAGTTACCAACCTGACCCAGACTTGGTCCGACGCGCCACCTGTGTCCGCCGCATCTTTTCGTTTATTATAGGACTTGTTGTTATCTTTGGTACCATCGCCTTCATTGTTTGGATTATCCTCCGCCCCCAGCTTCCTGAGTTCCGGGTCGACTCGGTTTCGTTCTCCAATTTTACTATTACCAACGATTCTCTTGTTTCATTTACCTCAGAAGCCCGGCTTACTGCGCGGAACCCGAATAAGAAAATGACAGTTGATTACGATCATATCGAGGCCATGATTTTATACAAATCACAGACCCTTTCGGATACTGCTGTTCCACCCTTTTTCCAAGATACCAAAAATGAGACATCTTTAAAGGCAAATTTTGCTGCCGCTGGGAGTTTTGTGGATAAGTGGGTAGTGGATGGGATAAATAATGAGAGGAACAAGAATGGGAATGTGCGGTTCAACTTGAGGATGCTCTCGAGGGTTAGGCTCGAGTCGAAGGCATGGCCGACGCGAAAGAGGTCGCTGAAGGTGTTTTGCGAGGATTTGGCCGTTGCATTTCCGAGTAATGGGAGATCGGGGACATTAACCAGTGGCCCGAAGCAGTGTCGCGTTGGGATTTGAGGTGAATTATTGAATTTTATACACTTTTTGATTAATTACTAAGTGCCTTTAGTTGAATCAGGATAAATGTAAGTGATTGGCGTATTTTTGATATACAAGAAATGTGGATTTGTAGGATAATATTTGTTGGTTTACATATTGTTTTTGTTATTTTGGGTGGTTGTTTATATACTATATTGCATTGTAATAAGATTTTGATTCATGTATCTATATTCAGCGTAATCCAAAGGATAAAAGAAACACCGGTTTTGTCATTGGTGCCAATTGATAGGAAATCGAAATAGTTGATGCCTGGTGTCGTGTTTATTAACAGACCTACAGGCATGAAGCAGAATGTGTCTTTCTCGAAATTAATATCAAATCCATAACATTGGAATACGGCTGCTGTACCGATGTCTTTGTCCAAACGTGTGGTACACTAGAAGAAAATAGAGAGAAGTTATTGGGCTATGGACACCACATATCTCCATATTGGTATGACATTGTCCACTTCGGCCTAAGCCCTCATGGATTTGCTTTTGGGCTTTACCCCAAAAGGCCTCATGCCAATGAAGATATTGTCCATACTTATAAATCCACGATCCTCCCCACTTCTAGTCAATGTGGGACTTTGATCGCACACCCAACAATCCTCCCCTCGAACAAGGGACCACCGAGCCTCCCCTCAAACGACTAACTCAAGAGCTTGCTCTATTCAGGTCAACTCCTCTTCACCGCATTGGGATCAGGACACGTCTACGAAGCATCAGGAGCACACTGCATGTCCAATATAGCTCATCCACGGATCCCATCACGAGCAGACCGAGGCTCACCACATTCATGCAGCATTCCGAAGAATTCATCTACATGGCTAAGTCTGGGGCTTGGCTCTGATGCCACTTATTGGGTTATAGGCACCATATATCTCCACATTGGTATGATATTGTTCACTTTAAGCCTAAATCCTCTTGGATTTGCTTTTGGGCTTTACCCCAAAAGGCTTCATATCAATGAAGATATTGTCTATACTTATAAACCCACGATTCTCCCCACTTCTAGTTAATGTGGGACTTTGGTCGCACACCCAATAGAAGTGAATGCATTATGTTTTATATGTGCCGATGCACTTTTACATGTAAACTTATAGAGGAGTATTATCTATAGATATTTGACCATGTGAAAGTTAAATGAACAATAGTTCCTATTGATCACTTGTTGATACTGGATATATAATCTCATTTTTCACTTATAAAGATAGTGTCCATTAACAACTCAACACTCAATAGCATAAATTGTTGCACAGCTAATAACACTATTGTGCGTAACTTGTCTTTTAAACTTATTGGTTAGGATGCACAACACCCTCCTACTGTAGACGAGTTGTCGGATTTCGATACGACATTGATAATTGTTGCAAATGCTAGGTAGAGTGTCCAAATTATTTTTGTTATTTGTATGGTTGGACACGATGCCAATACACGCGATATTCATTGTGGACACATATTCGGCATGTCGGAATTAACCTTAACACATTCTGATGTTACTCCTACAAAATAAATTCTGTGGTTCACATGTTTTAACATACTTGACTCGAATATGTTTCTATTTCCCTTCTCCCTTAGGCAAGATATCTTATGATAACTTTCCCTCCATCATTGGTTCCTAGACATCTGAACTACTTCTTATATGCTTCCACATGGAACTCCCATGCTTCGCAGTTAGTTAATTTATGCTTTTTTACAAATGTGTCTTTTCATAAGTAGGTAAGTTTTTAATTATTGAAAATGAACCTTCTCACTCCACCACAAAGTTTCATTATTAGGTGTTTGTATACCTTTAAAGAAACATTCTACCTGTACATATACAGACAACCTACACATACTCACAAGGGAGGGGTGGGTGGGTAATTTTTTTTCTTTTTTGTTCGTGGGACCCACCCTCATGTGAGAGGGTGTAAGAATTCTGTAAGGTAAATAGTTATGTACAAATGGATTATTCTACCTTTAAACTATCCTAATACTGCTTGACATGTTTCAAACGCCACCTCATTCGACATCATACTATTATCTCTATCATATTTTCATTCAAATTGAAAATTCACTTGTCTTTATTTATTTATTTTTTCACATTGCATATTTCGCTATCTACAAAACTCTGCTAACCTGTCTATATCCTATTTTTGTTCCTTCAAATTCTATTTTAAAATTCACTTGTTTTTCTCCTTACATGTTCCACTACCTTCCTTCAAAAGTGTAGTATCATATGATAATATTTAAAGAGTATATGAAGCTAAGGTCTTCTGTATTGTCCATCAGTCACTTTTCTTTTAGTTCACTCCTTTTCCTAAGTTTACTGTTGAGTTTTATAATATCCCAAAATAATGAGGAACAAGGATTATTTAGTTATTGCTATGAAGAGTGTAGAGTGAGTTTGTTCTGTTTGGGCTGTATTTTATGATTAATTAATTTTACTGCAAATTGTTAGTTGAGTATTCATCAATTGTGTTTACTATGATGTCTACTGATATCAAGTTCAATTAATGATATTTTCAGATTGTTTACATCGTTCCTGTTGATTACCTCTGGCCATAAACCTGAACCTCTTGACACTCACTCGCACAACCCTAACCTCCAGGAATTATGTTGCGATCTGATTAAATCATGAAGTCTTTGGTAATTGTTTTTTAAGATGGCTGCATATTGAAAGGTGGTTACCTTGCTGATAAATAACTTGCCTTTTATTCCCTATATGTATGATGACATTCAATGTCATAAGTTCGCTTACTAACAGCCTTGCATGTCCTGAAAGGCCATTACAATTATTCTACTGCAGGGATTTTTTTCTAACCGTATAGAGTAGAAGGATTTTCAAGATGATTGACTTTTATGACAATTTAATGGTAGGGTGACTATCTAGCTGAGTTTTGAAATTGCTACATCATTTTTCACTTTTTTTTTGGATTTTAAAGCTCTCAATTAATGTGATGCTTCGCTAAGAGAAACATTGAGAAAAAAAGGCAGGTGCATTTCCAAATACTTTTTTGGATTGATTGTGACATGTATTTTGCAATAAACACTGAAATCCTGTTAGGTTTCCTTATTAGTGAGTCCTTAAGAACAGGGGCGGAGCCAGTCCTTTAAACTAGGGGGGTCCCGGAGTTGAAGGGGGCGGGGGCTCACTGCCCCCGAATTTTTTTTTTTGAAACATTATCTGTTAAAATGAGGGAAGTTGGTACTTTGTGATGGAAAAAGGAAACAAAAGAATATAAATTAATGTAAATTATTAACAAAAAAAATCAAGAAATGTATAAAAGAAAGTACTAATCTTTATTTTAGCAAAATCATACCTTATTACAAGCGTTCATTTC